CATTCCCACCCCCACCTGAAAATGCAAAAAATACACTGGAGTAGTTAAAAAAATTTGGCACTCCTCACTTAATAATTGAGGCCCCCCCACTCCCCCATTTCAAGTCTCCTGGATACGTCACTGCATGTAATCTACAAAGAATTAAAAACCATATTGATGCAAGTGCAGGATGCTACTACAATTAGAAAGACAACACATGTTCTAATTGACAATATTGCACTGAAGTCAATTAAATGAAAAAAACAATAATCCTAACAAAAGTAATGATATACAGTACCATTTTTCATAAAACAGAAGAAAAAAAAAATTAGAGAAATTATTATAATATTATTATTATTGTTTGCTGGTTTTACATGGCCAATTTCAAGGTCTTTGCAAAAGAATATAGAAAATAGGAGTGTTGTTTTGCCCTAGCTGACGTGTTTACGTACCGATTACTCGGTCCGTTCCCAAATAGTTGCGAAAAAAGAGATTCGGGTGGAAATCGAACCCACGACCTCCAGATACATTTCAACATTTATAAAATTATTTCAAATTTCAATATCTTGATAGTGAATTTTTACAATTTTTGTAAAGTAGTTGCACTTTGGTAGAAATTCATGGTGTTGGAGACGATATCATAATCATTCATTGATTACAATGATTTGGTTCGGTATGGATGCTCTCAGAAATGAAAACACTATACACAAGCTGAAATTCGATGAAAGAGGGCGCCAGTCAAATCAAAACTGAAACAGTGATGTGATGTTTCCAGTCCTTTCATGGTTTATTAAATAAGTTATTTTCTGATTACAGTACTTTATTATTTACACTATATATTTTGGAATCCCCTTCATATCTATAATAAGTAAAAGAATAATAATTTAATACCCATTAAGTAAAAATTTATCAAAAAAAATAGAACAACTTAAAATCCCAATGCCAAGAAATATTTTATGTCAAGAAAACAAGATTAGGACCTGTAAAGTCTTTATAAAGAGCAGCCTACCAACAATAATGAAGCAATTAGTTCACACTTCCCCAATTGTGATAAAGATTATTAGAATCTCTTAAAGTGGAATTTAGAACATGACTTGGAATATTTATATTCAATTGTAAAGTGCTAAACAGACCAATTAAATAATATTTAATGAATTACTAAGAATAAAAAAAAAATACGATCAATTAGTAATACTAATTATAGTAATGTTACTATTTTAGAGTCACGATGACAGTTAATGTTATCTAATCATAGACTCTGGAAAACAAATAGCTAGTAGTTTTACGAATGATATGATTATAAACATTCTATTAACAATACAGTTATAATATAATTTAGTGTTAATTTAATATTTTACCAAAGAAATAAATGTGAAAAAAAAATTATCTTTCAACAATAACAATTAATAACATGTCTATAATAGTGTGTCTAGTGTAATTACCCAAATTATTCAAGGTTAATCAATATTTAATCAAGGTATACCTATACTTCACATCAAATACCTCCCAAACCCAAACACATTTACACATGACTATACTTGAGAATAAGGTTAGATGGAATGCATATTCCAATGCCAGCATTATCATATATCTTACAATCTTAATGACAGCTATACTGTAAAGGTGGTGAAACAATTCTTTGGAAGTTGCAAGGTGAAGTTTGACAGAACCAAGAAATATAAAATATATCCTCGTTAACAGGAAATTAGAAGACAATGTACAACACCAGTAAAATGTTCAATGCACAGCAAATATACATATTAAGCATGGAATGATTAGACCAAGTATAAATATCCTCACTTATATCATAATACATAACTATATAAACATTTATACAGATATTAGATAAGTTGATACTTAATAGTCAATAAAAGTTCATTATTTGAGTTGATAGGTCAGAAGAAGCGTGCTACAGTACTTTTGTGTCAATAACAACTGCTATTAATAAAGGCACCAGAAACAGCACTTATCAATTTTGTTTTAGTTACACTGCTTTGTCAAAAATAACATGAGCATATTTTCCATCTGTTGTAATATTACTTCAATGAGTGGAAGACATGCCTACTATTTTTTCTTCATATCTGTAATTGATATTTTTTTTTTATGTTTTTTATGATTGTCTTTGTTATATATTTGGCATTTTAATTTGATTTACATTTATGTTATTATATTTTATACAAATAAATACATAAAATATATTCAAAGCCAGCATCTTACATTTTTGAATAAACAAAGTTGTCATTTAATACAATTAAGAAGTTAATATGTAAATCTGAGCATTTTGTTTCTAAGTTTGCCGATTTGGCTTTGTTTGAAATTTGCAGATCTGGCAATTAATGTCCAAAATTGTCATTGATTCAACAGCATTTATGCAAATCTATAATAGAGGCAGTGACAAATTTTGAGAACAAAAGCACATCGTATGTATTTTGCTTGACCCTACAAACAGACATTATATTCTAAATGATGAATTAGGGCAATAATGTAATATTCATTCAAAACTAGTTCAGTTCATTTCAAAATATGAGGCTTATTTTTCTCTGTTATGGTTGGTTCCTTAAGCTGAGAACACACTGCATCAACAGTCCATTAGGGTTTGCTCAGCCTTCCAAAATCAGCATCATGGAGTGCTTACGGAGAGCGAAGAATTCATTGGCCGACAGTCACTGATCCTGTTGAACCCAGTATAAAGACTGCAAGTGCATGTTAAGAGAATAACACACACGTGAATGTATAAATCTAATTAATATCCAATGCGATTTCAAATAGCGTATTTTCTCAAAGACAGGACTTGCGCAAGTATTTTTGGTTGCTATGACTGATTATTATGTCTTACCAAAATCATCAAAGTCCAAATCAATAAATCTGCCCTAAAAATGATTCACATTCCTATTTTGTTTTTATACATTCAAATAATATACCGTTTTTTTTTCTTTTCAAATAAACACCGGGGGCGTTTACTGCTGAAAAATGTTTTTTGAGGGGGCGTTTATATGCGAGAGGCATCTATTTTTTTGGTGTAAAATGGATACACATTTATACTCAAATAAACAACCCTTAATTTTACTGTAAATGTAGAACTACAACACACACACGTACCGCCAAAATGTTGTATTGCAAGATCATAAATAATTATTGATCCTAACCAGGTTAGGAAAAAGGTATTTTAACTTGAATAGAATATTAATAGAAGGTATTGAGAATGATTTTTCTGTCATTAATCTTGTTTACAGTCATTTGGGTGGGGGGGGGGGTTCCCCGGGCATTTACTTAAGAGAGGAGTTTATTCCAAATTAGCCTCTGGAGGGGGCAATTCTTTGAGGAAGCATTTATTCAAATAAATACGGTGATAATTATGTGCTTTCAAAACAGTTGTAAATCTACATCTACAGATTTGTCACTGATTGAATGGCATACATATATCCATTATCAATTTTAAGTCTGGATTTAAGACCTAAATATTGAATCACTGCTTCGTATTAGCCTGGCGAACAGCAATTGTTAAACATTGTACCCATTGCTCTGCCTTTGTACTGTCTTTTGCTTTGAATACATACGACTTGTTGTCTTCTGTAAATATCTCGAAAGCTCTTGGTATACTACGATCACGCCTCCTGACTGCCTTTACACTTTGAACTTTCCCCAGTTCAATCGGAAGTGTGCCCTTTGAATGCGTCTACAAAAGCATAAAAAAGTTTAGAACTTATAATAAACTTCAAAACATAACAGAAGAGAAACCTGACATTACCATAGAAAAAAAAAAACACTTGGCCTCCACCGGGACTTGAACCCTGGACCTTTTTCATGCATGGTGAATGTCCAACCACTTGACCATGAAGGCATTGTGGTGATGAAATCACCAGTAAAATTTAAGATCCTTAAATTCTTTCAACGTGTTTGACATCACAATTTTAAAATAGCACAAATATTGCATGAGACTAGACTGCCAGAGATCTAAGATATGCCATTTTCTGTACATTATTTACAGTTTTCTGGATCTTGAATGAGATATTCGTATACAGTATATAATATACTTCTGAACTTATTATGTACTCTAACACCATCTTTATAAATAAATGATTAACATCAACTTGTTATTATACTGCTGCTGCTGGAAGCTGTAAAAAGGTCAAAAGTAGGCATATACGAAAAAGGCCAGTTGACAACAGTACACAATCTACAGATATCTGTCATTAGTGTGCAATCCATGTTAGCTGATCAGCAAAGAAAATGTAGCATACTTACAAAAAGGAAATATAGAAAAAAATGAAGCTAGATGGAATTCTTTTTTTTTTTATTATCGTAAACACACGGTAACATAAAAAATAGCCCTTACCGATTTGTTCTTTTTGTAAACAAGGTTTTCTCCTGCAAGTGTGAAATAACGGGTTCTCCAAGTACGAAATAATTTCCATCGCACCTTCTTCTCCTTTAGCTGGCCTTCGATGTGAGGTTGTCCATCAGAAAAATAATCGGCTGCAGGAGGAAATACAAATAATAGAATATCTTTAATATATATTCCATGTTCTTTGCTGGTAAGATTTTGATTTACACAATGAATAGGAAGAGAGTATAGAAAATAACAGGAATTTAAACATTGAAATAAAAATAATCAGCTTGGGGGGGAAATGGTGGAGAGAATAGCTTTTTGTAGTTGGATGGAATACTGTACAGATAAATATGATCCAATGTATTATAAACAAGTCAAATTGGGAATTTTCAAACGGCTTCTGTTGCAAGGGAACTTCTTGGGGTTCCCCACCTTCCACATATGTTATTTCCATATCATGTCATGGCCAGTGGCGGGGGAGGGGGAGAGCTTGACCTGTCTTGTGGGGTGACTTAAGCCCCCTCTTCCCCCGCTGGCGTTGCCACTAGTCATGACAACTGTTTAGAATAGTTTTCGCCATGATTTCTGCATGCAAATTCTACAGGGCGCCCCTCTGCAATCACAATTACTTTTATACTTTGACATCTATGATCTATGTGCAAATTCTTGAACAACCACCATAAGTAACAGCTAGGACAGCCTCTCTCAATCACAATTAATTTTTATGCTTCTTTTTACTGAACATAATCACTTCTATTTGTTACTCATAGGCTATGTTCTCACACGGCTGCTAACCGTTAGCTGCCGTGCATCCATACGAGAAAATTCCGATCCGGATATCAAAAATATGATGATCGAATCACTGGCCAATAAGAAAATGGAAATTGTAAACGCGTACGTGTGATTGGTTGATGATAAAAAAGCACTCAGCTTGCTAACCGATAGCACTTGCTAACCGTTAGCGGTATCCAGATACCGCTAACGGTTAGCGCTAACCAATCGGGCATTCTCATGCAGTTGCTAACAGTTAGCACTAACGGTTAGCTCCCGATCCGGATACTAGGGCTCTCGTGAGAACCACGCTAGAGAATCACAGAGAGTGCTATCTTGTTATTCAAAGTAAAACTCACCCAGCTTTGTAGGATTGCAGCACATAAAGCACACCCAAGTGGAACAGTCTTGATCGAACTTGAACAGGTCATAGTAACTGGCCTCGTTTAGTTGCTGAACGAGAACACTCTGCACCTTAGTAGAGGGAAAATTCTGCGTGATGAGCTTGAGAAATGTCATGGTACCCCCGATGGTCTTCTGCTTGTCCCAGCACCGCTTCAGCACCTGAATAGACTCATCATCCACAGCAATGGGGCTTGGAGATGTTGCCTGGAAGGACAAATGTCAGATTGAGCAATGTTCCAATAATAATGCTGGAATAATATTGGAATTAACATAAAACATCTATTGATTCATGATGGCATCATGGATTAAAAAAAACATTAATGTGCAGTTTTTATAATTTAAAAATTTGTTTACATATTTTATAGCCTAGTATAAATACTTGATCATTAAATAATTTTATTCTATTAATATTGAATTAATATTTTTATCAGAAACACCTTATTTTATATTTGTATGTATCATATAGTGTTCATTTTTGTTATCTTTATCTTGTGCAATTCCGTATTAATTTAATCATATGAATTACTTTTATTTCATCATGTAAGAAAGAGGATGTAGGTTTGAGCCCTGCTGGACTCATGAGAATGATCGATGATGCCATAAATTCACTATTTTGTGAACATTTCTAATGATGACTCATTATGTGAAATCTCATATTGAAAAAGCAGCAGTAATCTAGAAAATAGCACCTAGATCTCTGACAACAATAATGGTTTGATACTGCCTTGAACATGGTGGAAGGCAATATAAAAATGCGGGACCATTGACCACCATCATTGACCATTAAAGGTAATGTATTTGCATAGCGCATATTACAGAAACAATGATTACTAATTTTTTGAGAACGTATTGTTCCCATCGGGATTTTTACACAAAATCTTCCGATTACTGTTCAGCTACCAGTTGCTTTTATAAGATTCATTGCGTATTACACAAACACCACGAGAATGAAAAATGTGTCCCATGCAAAAACTATGATCGATCCTTTGTCATCAGGTTGTTCTAGCTGTTTTCTTCCTGTGAAGAATGTATTCAATTTTGAATAAAACGTTACACAATAATAATAATAGTTGGAGGAGTATTCAGAAGGTAATTGGAATGTCTTGGAGGTGTGACTCCACGATTTGCCCCATACACATTCCAATGACTGAAGTAATAATGTGGAAAGGCGCTCTGAGAATTACAGTACGTGTAGAGCGCTATATAAAAACATATATATTATTGTAGAAACAGTCTCTAAATAAGTCCTTCAGTGCTAATTAACAAACCTGAAGATGTAGGTACATAATATATATCCATGTTTGGATATCCCTTGTTGCCATTGTAAATGGGGTTGACTGGTACAAGCAACAATCAATTCCCTTCTTTCCACAATGGAATTCCAGTTGACCAATCGGCCTTTTATCCTTTGATTCTGTAAAGAAAAAAAGCATAACAAATTTGAAATCATACTTGTGATCAATTATTCAAAATGATAATCATCAATTAAATATTAAAATGTAGTTTATATAGTAAACAATACTAAATTACAAAAAATACTGTAATTCCATACTGTAACAAAAAGTCAAAAGCACTTTAAAAAGGTCAATTAATAATAAATAATTAATACAAAAACTTTCACCTAAAGCAATGCAGCTAGAAAGCCAATATGTAATACAGAACTGGAGCATATGGGGGCTAACATTATACAAATAATTAATGTTCATGAGTGCGATGGGAAAAATATTTTTATGAGTTGAAAGATTGACTTTTCCATTCAACAAGGTGGAGCTAAGTTGAATGGAACAGTCAATCCTTCAACAAATGAAAATATTCTTCCCATTATATGAATACACAATATTCATTATTAGATCCATGTCATTAGATATTTTATGAAGGCCTAAATTTCTTTCAATTTGTACAAGTTTTAACACAAACAACAAACAACAATTTGGTAATCAACTACCTTTTTTTTTAGAATGAAACAGTCTATCTTCTGTCAACCAATGAAAAATTTGTATTAGGTTGAGGCGTGCAATGAAACAAACCGAATGAAACTAAAAATGCATTTTCATGAATGAAAAATGGTGTAAGTAAATAACCAATATCATGATACGAAATCCACCAACCAAAATGACAAGATCTATATAGGTGTGCTATAAAACAAAATGTAACACACAATATAAAGATAATAAATGCAAATTTACCAATAACTTTGCAACTAGTTGGTACAGGTAGTTGTTTTTTTATTGACTCAATATACGAGATAATCTCCTTTCGTCGTTTTGTTAAGTACTGTTGAAGACTACTGTCTTTCTTCTCTCCTGTTCGTGTTAAAGTTCCCGGTTTGCTGTTATGGATAGGCCCGCTACCCAAAGTTTCATTGCCCCTGACGGACAGGCTGTTGACTTCTGTGTCTCGGCTGTTAGGTATCATTGCTCCGCGAACTTCCTTCTGATGCATAAGGTTCGTTCTGCTTCCACCCTCCTTTCGGTTAATTCGTTTGTCTACATCCCAATGTTTTCCGGATTTGTCAGGCTTAGGTGGGCTAAGTTCAAATTTTCTTATCTGATGCCTAGCCTGTTGAGGGTTGCTCTGAAGGCTTGTTTTACTCCCGGATGGATTCGAGTCTTTGTCGCTCTTCGGGGATAAAAGCGGGCCTACTTCTAGACTCCTTGTTGCCAATGATTTACTATCAAATTGTTTTCTTGGACTCATAAGTGTGTCTACACTGACCTGGCTGTGTATGCGGTTCTTCATATGCAGATTGCGCGTTTCAAAGTCTAATGATATGGTTGAATGTGTAATTCCACCAGTCCCTCTCTGCTGGAGGGCTGAATGTGATTTTGCTTTGCTTGATTCTAGTGTCCTTCCCTTCCTTGAAAGAGAATAAAGTAAAATCCAAGGTCATCTTACACATACTTCACAAATCTGCCACATAAAATTTCATGGTGCGGACATTACTTTACCTTTTATGCAAATCATCCTGTAACTGCTGCACAATCATTCGTACAGCCGTCGAACTGCTGCCCTGCTGGCTATTAATCTGCGACATGTGTTCACTCAGCAGACCCTTATGATAATCAGAAATGCTCTTAATCTCGATCAGTACTGCCGGGACAGATGACTGCTCCACAACAGTGAGTTGTTGCACAAGGAACGTCATGCATTCGCGTCCATAATCCTAGACACAAATTTATGAAAGGTGATGTAAAAGTAATAATAGTGATATTGTGCAGCATAAGCTTTTTCTTTTGCATTATGAGACTATTTTCATATCTAAATATCATCTGTTTTTTTGTCTGTTTTGAAAATATTCTCTTCAGTAGATATATTACTAAAGTATTATGACAACATCTTTCCATGAGTCATTTGGGATCAAATAAAACTCCCTTTAATATACCGTAAAAGCTTGAATAAGTGCTGCACCAAACCTGACTTTTTTCACTAAGTGCTGCTCTCGAAGATGTGCCGTGTCACTTAATCGAGATTATATATTGCCCTGTGTGTAATGAAACACTTTCCAATGAAGACACAAGCATTTCTTTATAAATGCTTGTTTACGATAAAATAGGCCTACTGAACTACGGTAATATGTGAGATAGGTAACATGGGAACAGGCATGGAAAGCGCCATTCACATTTATATTTTATAAGCGCTGCACTGAAGCCTCCAAAAACTTCATAAGCGCTGTGGTGTTTATTCTAGCATTTATGGTATCTTTACTCCATGTGATTGATTTATAAAAGATTCTGATTTGCAATTAATTACACAATTCGATTGATAAAAGTGGTACAATAGCTATGAGTTCTCACAGGCAAAAGCTTGAAGCCCCAAACCTTAAAAAGCTCAGAATATTCTGAATTTTTTTGCCCAACATTGTTCAAGTGGGTCCTCTAAAGGAGCAATCTTTAGAGTATAAAATCCAAATAAGCCTTTAAAAATGTAAAAAAAAAAAATTCTTAAGCAGACCGAGCAAAGAAGCCAGAGGTCTCAGCCCTGTTTGTTATGCCACTGATATAAGCCTTGTTTGCACGGCAGGATATCACTGATGATCGCGTTCATCCTGATGATATAGGCGTTAAGTGGCCGTGCAAACGTGTTAGTAACTCTGCATATCGGATCAGTAACCGCGATGATCTCTAGAGTTAGCTCCACATCGCAGCAGTGTTAACAAAGATCATTTGCATGATCTTTATGCAAATTAGCTTTTGTTTGTCCTCTGCGAGTTATCACAGAATTCGCTGTTGATAAACAGCATGAATACACTGTATTATTGCGGAATAGCAGTTAAAAATTATGTTTTTATCAATTACGTACATTTTAAAACTATTTTGACAAAGGGTTTCAAAACAAGCAACAATGTGCGCGTTTCTTTCAGGTCAGTTCCAATCACATGACTTCCTGGTACAACCAATGATTCTTTTTTCAGGTAGGCGATCGACTGGAGATCATCAGTGCTACTTATCTGATAGCAAACGGTCGTGTAAACAAGGCTATCTAAGCAAAATAATTTGTAGGTTTTCATTAGATTGCCTTTTATTTACCTCATCCAGCTTGCCAATTGCAGCGAAGATCTTGGCAGCTAATGATAGTAGGGATGTTTGCTGTGCAACTGTTAACTTCAGCATAGTTAAGCATGGAATGAATGCCTTAGCATCAACCATTGCAATATCCAGCAGTAGATTGAGTACGGTGGACGACACGCTGGGGTCGTTCAGTTGCTCGACTAATATTGCTACATGAGGAATCAGAGCCTAAATATAATACGAAAAGAGACAAAAATGCAAATAATTTCAGAGGAAAGTGAATAAACTGGATAATTGAAAGTCCGATCGTGACATTTAATTTTTCATTAAAAATGTATTACAGTAAAACATTACCTTACTTATTATACCTATAATATATGTATATTAGTATAACTATTTATCTAGTTAGTACATTATTAATAACAAAAAGGCCTCAAAGTGCTTCACATTATTACCTTTGGTTATTAGATCAAGTATACAGTATATGGGACACATACAAGTACTCATCTCCCAGGGCAGAATTTTTTTCATGTTTCAGGTAGAAATCAGTACATTTTGTGTTTTAGAAACTGTACCAGGTACCCATTTGTATTCCTGGGTAGGGAGAGGACAACTGTAGACCTGTAAAGTACCTTGCCCAAGGACACAAGGCAAATGCACAGCAATAGATTAAACCTCAAGGTTGAGGGGCAGGACTTTGAAGGCTGATTTCTCATATATTGTTCTTTAAACAGCTGTATGTTCAAATGCTTGTAACTTCAGAAGGAAATGTCGGATATGAACGATTTTTTTAACCATTTTATAGCTCTTATTTTACTCTTTAACCCTGTATTAATAACTCAAAATCAATTTTTGCGACGAGTGACTGGTTTGGCTTGTCTTTGCCACATATGTAATTTTGTACTTACGTGTGGGTATTTCTTGTGGATCATGGCAAAAATCTGCAGAATACTTAGCTTCTCTGAAGTGTTGCACTTTGGTAGAATAACGACAAGTTCAGAAATGTAGTTGACAATTTCCAAATCACTTTCGGAGTAGATTTGAGGTAAAATACGAAGTAGAGACCGGTTACCTAAAGACAATAATAATAATAATATAATACTGCAAATAATAATCCAGGTATATCGAAAAGAAAATAATAATAATAAATAATTGTTGTAATCTGTATTGGTTTTATTTTATTTTTCATTAGGTGCATGGACCAAAACCAATATTAATCACGGACTCATAAAATTATTAGTAAGTGGCAATTCCTGTCACACAAAAAAACATACACATAATTAACTTAGTCTTATATGAGTAGAGAAATTGTTTTTTGTTTGCAATGAAAAATCCTGTGTCAGACAAGAATATAACATAGAAAACCCTGAGATTGGAAGCTAAGCTAGTTAATTCCACTTCAATATAATATTAACAATAATAAAAATGACGATGAAGGAGGCAACAACCACGACAACAATAACAACAAACGATTATTACATCATTAGTCTATAATAAACAGTCACACACAAAGTATATATATTTTTTAACTGACCTTGTCGAATGCTTCTGATGAGAGATCCCGTGTGAGGTATTAAAATATTTGCGTTCTCGATGGCAGCAAGTGCAAGGTACGTTGACAAGTTGCGTGTAATTTCCCGATTTCCTTGCTGCAGAAATTTCACGGCTACGGGCAAGGCAAGTTTCATTACCGATTTTTTGTTATAGTTTTGCTGAAAAAGAAAATAAAAATGTTTTGTTTTATTTGCATCTAATATTTGCAAAGGCTTAAGCAAGAGGATTAAGCAATAAACCTCTTTAATAATACGCTTAAAATTGCGAAGGGTCTAATTTCTGAGAAAATTCAGATATTTTGTGAATTGAAAAAGCAAGTAAATCCTTGCCGAGACGCTAAGGCCCATAGGGGGCTGGAGTTACCTCCAGTTTCTGTAGCATGAAGTGGGTGATATTGATAATCTGATATTGATAGTCTCTGGGTAGGCTGCCAGTCCGCTACTGGTTACTTTCAGCAATGATACAGCTAGGTAGACTGAAGCAAAGTAGATAAAATACCTTGCTCAAGGAGACAAGCAAAATACACAGTGAAAGATTGAAACCCAGACCTCCAGGTTGGGAAACTAAACTATTTTTATTGCGCCAAACTGCTTTCAATGCGGATTAAACTCCTAGGATATTCCAGGAAAGCAGGCGCCTACTGTACGCCATCAAAGAATAGCTCAACATCACAAAAAATATAAAATAACAACAAAAACTACAATATTACAGCTAAAGTTATAATCAAAGAACATTATTATTTTTATTAGGGCTACATGATATTTTACTTGTTTTGTATGCCTTTTTTTTTCCTATTCCTTCTGATTTGATAATTTTATTTAATATAATTGTTATATTTGAATTATTCATATAAATTGTAATATTTGTTGCTGGAATTGGAAATAAAGTTGTATTGATTGATTGACTGATATTAATAACAATATTCATCATTATACTAATAGTAATAATTCCTGCATTTGTCTTATTCAGTTTCTAAATTAAAATCACTAAACTAAAAAAAAAACATGTCTGTATCCACTCATTACAAAACTGCACTGACTTATACACTACTAATTTTAATAGGGTTCAGACAATCTTAAAAATCACAATAGTGACCCTAAAGTTTATTTGATTTTTCCTTAATTTTTTTTTTTGGAAAATAAACTTTTCTGTGACAAATTTAATCTGTTTGGGATCAATCAATGTTTGAACCTTATTTTCACAACTGTATATTGAAAATGCTGTAAACATCAACATTTCTTTTGGTTTGGTAAAGTGCATTAAACTTCAATCAAGATAAGATTATACTCAGCACCAGCCGAGCTCAACACATCATATGTTCTTGATTGTTTACAATACACTAAGAAAACAATCCTAAACTCGTCCGCAAACACTAGGACCTTTCATAGTAAAATTATCATAGAAGTGTGTTTTTCTGCATCAAGCGATACAGGTAATTGTAAGTTGGCATGGACTAGTAAATACATTACGACAACCACGCTTCAATGACTGTGTAAAGAAAACATGGTTTTATTTAGTAAGTTAATTGTTCACCACTCCTAGGGGAAAAATGAAAAGCAGCCTGAATAAAAAGACACATGAAAACTTAGATTTATCAATTTACCTTTCACTTTTTAACAAAAAGTTCAATATGCACGGCTGAGTTTAGTAGTAAATAAGCACAAACAAATACACAACAGCATGGGCATAGGATGGGGGTACACGAGTGTGGACGCAACCATATGCCAGAACATTAGTTCCTCTAAGTGGGTTTAAATACCAAAATTGACCAATAAGTTTTCATTCTGGGATTTAGTTCCACATTCTCATTTTTTGCATCCCATCCCCCACCCTCCATCCCCAACTTAAACCAGCCTACGCCCCTGAATATAACTAACACAAGCGAAGATTATACTGTAGTGTAAACTAAGTGTTACTGGTGGCTTGTATAGCACTGGGACACAGGGTAATTTAACAGGAATAAATTTATAGTAAATTAAATATTATACGTGTATCTGAAAAAAAAAAAACTCCACCAAGCATTTCCCTTCTATATTTTTTGCAGCAATTGGCTGGTATGTATAAATAATTAACCCAAGGCTTTTTTATAGTTTAAAGGTTTGCAAATCAGCACACACTTTTTTTTAAAACATTGTACCTTTTGAAATTAATAACCTGATCCTTTTAAGGGAGCTCAAATAGTTTTTTTTTTATTTTTTTATACACATAAGGGTTTTCTTTCCATGGCAGATGGTATATTGTAAACAAAACATTTAATGATTTACAGTATCTTATCCTGCTGTACAAATATTAATCTGGTGGCTCAATTACTGTACTTAGGAAATTCAAAAGCAACTCGGCAAGATCTAAAAAGTTGATTACAATTTGTTTTACTTTACTGTAGAACACTAGGAGTATAAAAAACAAACATTAACCAATGTCAGTGACCATAATTATCTCAATGGACAATGGTCACGTACTTGTATAGCGCCTTCGACAGTAGAAAAGGCGATTTTAGCCACAAAGAAACTAAAAAATTAATTAATGAACAGAGGCATATGCAGAGGGGAGGAGGAAGGTACACACCTCAGATTTTGAGATGGCGTCACCATCACTACCTTGTACATGCAGGTACCTCGGCGTCAGTATGCTAGGCTCCGGTAGCTTTCACCGAGGATAAGCCTGCAGCTCTACTACCGTGCACTGCTACAGTAAGTTAGCAGAGCCACCTCAAATAAGGTGGTGCGATATTTCAGGGTGAAAATCTTAACTACTAAAAATTAAAAAAATGAAAAGATGAATTGACTGAGTTAAGTGAACTTATAACCAGAGCTGTAAGGCGAGACTTCTTTTGTTCCTTGTTTCGCATACTTATTTTTTTAAGATTATAAGAGGAGGGTGGAATAAAAATAAAAATAAAATTTTGTTTTCTTATTTAGCAAATAGTTTTACCAAAATCATCAAGACAGAGGAGAAAATAAAAATAAAATTTTATTGGTGAATGTAATATGGGATGGTTAAATGCTTCATATTTATATAATTAGGAAGAAATTTACATATCTTATCTTTGGAGATTTCAAGGCAGAGGAGGGCGTAATAAGAAAAAGGAAAAATTTTTATTTTTTTCTGAAATTTCCACTTTCTTGTGGCGGTGGGGCGCTAATTGGCCAAAAAATTAAATTGTATTTTTATTCGAAATTATCAATATTTGCAGTTGTCAGTGGTCCGAGCTCAACAAAGCTGTTTTTTTTTTGGGCTGGGCTAGCTGAGAATACAGGGAAAGGAGACGAATGCTAGTGAATGTGTTTACGAAAAAACATATTCACTACTACCATAAAACATAGGCTAGGCCTAGAATAATAATCTGTTTTGTTTGGAATCTAATGTGTATTGTATTTTCCATATATTGGCTTTCCTATTCTGTTTTTGTACTTGGTATTTTGTAAACTCATGACTGGAAGGCTGGCAATTCGGGTCAAGTAAGAATATAATCTAGGCTAGTAACAATATTTTAGGACAACTAGACCTGGGTAGAGCAACAAAGTGTAACTTTATACCTAATTTTGACTTTAACCGGACAGACAGTGTTTTTACAAATTAAATTCAAATTGGAATGAAATTAAAGTTAATACACTACTCAAAGATGACCTGATAAATAAAGTTTACAGTTGTGTGCAGTAGTTTCCATAATATGCTCACCTGAATGTTTTCGATGTGAGATTATGGAATCTTGGGACTGGTTGTAAATTTTAGGACTGGTTGTAAATTGTAGGTGTCTGATGATGAGTATTAAAATCACTCTGGACGCAGGGATGTAGTTATAGTGGGTGGGGTCACCCAGCCTTGAAGTACTCCACCCAGTCTAAAGCTAATTTCATGGCCTTCCACCCACCCTTATTAACCCACTTTTCCATCTTTAAAATCCACTCGTATTATCTAGAGTTTAAAAATGTTATCAAACACCCACCCTCAAAATATCCATCCCCACCCTTAGTTTTCATTAGCTACAACCCCGTCTGGGCATATTTGATATATTTCATTGGTCAAGACAGATTTCTTCTTTAGATCAGACTTACCATAAAAAGACAACTCATTATATCTGAGGCTATCTTGGCATGGGGTGGGTCCTCCTCCTTGTAGGTTGGTATCAAGTTGTGATGGAGACATGAATCCCACAGATACACTAATGCCATAGCATGCTTATCAATGGTGCCAGTATCCCTAATGGTAGATAAAAATTACAAAATAACAACTTACACTGATTTATTTCAAGGTAAAAGAGGATTAAGAAGTTGATTATAAATATTAGTGTATTGTTAATTGTTGGATAATTCCTACATGAGAGTTAGGTAGGATAAGGAACATGTTGGTAATGGCCGCAGTGAGTCCCCAGGCTCTTGGCCAAAATTTTGAATTCCAAGTTTCCAGATTAACGACAAAAATGGGAATAATAAATCAAGAAAAAATATATTGGAAAAATTACTTTGGCTTTTGAAAACAAATAAAGGTAAAGGTAATGGAAAGTGTATGGACTATTATATTTACTAATAAACTATTACTATTACTACTTACTATTTATATTTTTTATTTATATTTAGGGTGGTTTGCGTGCGAAACCCCTCGAATGTCCGACTCAAAAATAAAATTGGCCCACACTGTACCTGATTGCAGTTGTTACCCTGGTGATACAGATCTCCACAACTGTCTGATCATTTCTATTGGTCAGATAGTCTTCAGATGCTGTTATATCTTGTATCCGATAGAGGGCTTCTGTGAGGTCATTCACAATAGCAGAGTCTGGGATGTAGAAGAGTTCTCCGGCAATGGAGAGGTCTCGTTCTGCAAGAACCTGAGCTAACAGTTCATACATCACTGGTGGTGTCCTCACTGTTGGAAGTAACATATTCATTGATAGTAAACATGATTCATAATTATGAAATAAAAGTTACTGTGTGAGTGTACTGTAGGATTTTTGGAAATGATGTTTTAAACTTAGTCACTGAATTTGTTGTAAGAGAATGTTTAATCCTTGTGTCTCAACTCTGGATTGCAATCAACAGCTTGTTAACATACTGTATCCAGGGGTGGGGAATTAACAGATATGAGTGGAAACGTTTCCTTATAGTTGAACTTTCTCAACGGTGAGAGATTTTCTGGCAGCAGCAGTGCAAAATTTTATGACAGTAAGGTGGCTTTCCATACACATACAAAAAAAGTTCTTCATATGCAAAATTCCCTATGCGTACTTGAAAAGTCATGTAGCACTCATGTGGGTAGTGAGGGGGATGGGGAATAGGTCACAAAAAAATGTGATAGGAGGTTTTTTGCTTCGGACATATTAAGGGTAGGAACTGGGTTGTGATCTCTATTTTTTTTTAAGAGGGGCATTCCAAGCACTACCTTACATATGCTACTGCTTTGAACAGTGCTTGCAGCATCAATCCTTTCGTAATCATCGATAAAAACCTACTAGACTGTAAAATAAGGTCTGCGCAGGGAATATCCCCGTCTGCGCAAAAAATAGGCTTAGTAATCTGTCCGCGCATTTTGGAAAAAAGGAACCGCTTTCCGTTTACATTTTTCCATAAAATCATGTTGTAACTTATAATCTTTCAATATAGGCATAACCAATTTATTAAGCAGTATTTACGACTCAGTAAAAACAAAAAAAGAAACTACAAAATAATAATAATAATTTAATAGATTTAAAAACATAAATCTAAATCAAATTTAGAGAAATTTATGGATGGTCCACAATGTCTTGAAAAAACTCTGCCCCTGCACTAATAATACTATAGTAATACTAATATACTCACTCAGATGTGAGGTTCTGTGCAGATACAGATACAATGGAATGATGATGGTCCTTAAATTAAATTCCCCTACCTGGCAGTCAGGCCTAATCGATATACAGGACAGGCCTGTCCTAGGCCCTGGATAAAACCAGGCCATGGAGGGAAGCGGATGGCTTTAGTTAGCCCTACTCCTCTACATAGGTAGGAAAAGGCTAGGCCCCTAGAGGCCTACCCTTTACGCGCGGTTGGGTTCGGCAATTCATACATACATGCCTAGGCTTAGTTAGTTAACATTTTACAACAAACAATATGTAGCAACAATCTACAATATCTCACCATTATATTAAAAAGGTTGATATTTCTTGACAGAACAACCAGGTCTAGGCCTACATGAGTCTTTAGATTCAACAACCGAAGCTCGCTTTCTCTCCGCGCCGCCCACACTGTGTTTCATCTTCTCATCACAGAATTTTGTTTTGTATACAAAACAATAGATCGTTGCCGCAGCAGTAGTAACATTTCAACCTTTTATATAAAAAAAAAATCACAACCGGGAAAAAATGTTTTATCATTGCCATCATAATCATCATACTCATCATCTATCACCTCCATCAAAGAACATAAATAGCTATTTATTATCTTTGT